CTCCTTAGACCAACTTGAAACCTGGTGCAACAGGTGGAAAGTCAAAATTAATCCCAACAAAAGTTCGGCTATCCTTTTTACCAAACGAAAAATCCCACAAAACCTTGACAGACTGACACTATCCCAGGAACCCATCTCCTGGAATCGACAAACACGATACCTGGGCGTGACGATGGACCAGCGTCTCACGTGGAAACCGCACATCGTGGAGACGGTGGCGCGAGCGAAGACCACCAGGGCTAGGCTCTATCCCTTACTCAAAGGTGGAAACACCCTCAGTTTAAGGAATAAGCGAACGCTTATCAAGGTGGTACTTCAACCGCAGCTAACCTACGCCTCCACGGCGTGGGGTCACGCGGCAAAAAGCCACTTAAAGTCATTACAGGCTGTGGAAAACATAGCCCTCCGCACGGCCACCGACGCGCCCTGGTACGTAAGAAACACTGACATATTACGAGACTTACAATACACAAACGCTACACAGACAATAAGACAAAACGCGGAGAAACGATTTGACGTAGCCGCTAGACATGACAATCCCCTCCTCAGGCAAGCCGTTGACTACGTACCCGACGTGACCGACAAACACAAAAGACCTAGACACAAACTTTTTGACCCTGGGTGACCACCCCAACGACATCCCCCCCTGCCCGCTAACCTTTTCTGTTTCAGAGACCGCCAAGATCAAGAAACGAAGACAACGACACACACACATACACGTTTCGCAATGCTGGTGGCATCACATGAATGGTGCTCAATTGTGGCACATGTACAAAACTTTCGTATACTTGTGGCTGATTCGATAACAAGTGTGGGTCTATGATTGCCTTTTATTTACACACCATGGTTGCCAAGTTTTTTAAAAAAAACCTTTGTAGTAACTGATGCCATAAATATGTACTTTAAGGAGAAGTGTAAAAATGTTGCCATTAATATTAGCTGTCATGAAAGTGTGTAATGTAGGGTGCCATAAATATTTACTTGTTGATAGTGTGTGTAAGACAGTGATGTCAGATTTCTTCAATAAAAGCTATACTTACTGAAATATATAAGTATGATTAGTTTCGAAACATGAAAAAAAGGGAATTACGGTAATAAAACGCAAAATACATCCTGTATATAATATACTTGTATATTGAACGAACATGAACCTATATTTTTATATTCTGGCTATACATGCTGTTAAGAATTCGATGCTCACTTAAATTAGAGCAAATGAACCAACCGTACTTAAAAATCAAGATTTGTATTTGGAAAAAAGTTACAAATTCGTTTTTGTCAAATTGCTGCCTTGTTTGTATAAATATTGAAAAGTGGGGGATACTTTCTTATAACAACTTTTGACCTCCATCGACTGGCGGTATCAATTATCTTGTGTAACGTTTCATCCCCCCAGAACCATCATCAAATTCGTTATTTTCAATACAGACCTGAAAATTTTATTAGATTTTTTGAGGCCTCTTACGACCCCTACTACAGTAGTATTACATTTTGTGACAAAACGTCGGATTCTATTCTTGTTATAATACTACTGTGTTAGGGGTCGCGAGAGGTCTCAAATCTAATAAAATGTTCAGGTCCATACTGAAAATAACAAAGTTGATTATAGTTTTGGAGGGACGAGATATTACACAAGAAAATTGGTAGTGCCACGCAATGGAGGTCAAAAATTTTCCATGAGAAAGTAGTCTTTATTTTTTAATTTTTGCTCGAACAAATCCGTAATTTAACAAAAAAGAATTTCTAAATTTTAACATAAGATTTGTCTCCTTATTAAACTCTTAACCGCAATTTTGCCGACTTCGTAACAGCCTACATAAAAGATACATTTTTGTTTAAGAAAAATAACCAACAAAACCATATTTATTTTATTTTTTAATTTTACTAATTTTGTTAATCTCGTTCTTAACGCAAAATTTTATTTTCTTCCAATCTCTGTTAGATAATTCTGGATATTCTTTAATACATTCTTCAAATTCAGCTTTGCCGGGTACAATCCCCTTTTTTATTTTCACTCGAAAAAATTTTAGAAGAGCCTTTTTCTCATCTGGTGTCCAAGGCACATGAATATTCCTGCTATGAGCTGAAATTTTGAGAGGTGTTAATAAAAGGATCATTTAGTTCAGTCCGACATTCGACTGTGCAATTTGGGTGGTCAGCAATTAAATTTTTCTGTTGGGAAGTTTCCAGAACTGGGGCTGTTGTCATTCGGCCGAAATTTGAAAAGATTTAAATGGTTTGGACTAATGAAATTCATCAAGTTGCACAAAACTTTTATGGAAAGCTTTTTTGCAGATAATTATACTAAATAAATATCATTAATCCAAACCCTTTAAACCTTTTTAATGTAGTTCCTCTCCCATCATCACAGCCATACAATTTCAAAATATTTCAAAATAGGTACGGATGGACGGGCAAGAAATGTGCATTTTAAAAATAATTTGACATTCATCTGATTCATCTTCGGAGGGCTGACCAAAGTTGAATTTTTTTAAATGGAACAAGTCATGTAACATTTCTGGTGTAATATCAAGACAAGCTTGTTTTATTCTATTTATCTTATCGTCACGAGTAGTTGGTGGCTCTCTATATACTCTGTCTTTTACAAACCTCCACAAAAAAAATTCAAGTGGTGTAATATGATCTAGGAGGCCTTGACAGTGGCCCATCTCGAGCAATCCCTCTATTAGGATAAATTAGGGTGCTCAAAAAACTGCTGAATACTTCTCTCAACTTTAAACAGCAATAACTTGGTTATTTTAAATGGACCACCCAGTATATTTTTACTTTGGGAGTTGGGAAAGTTTAAAACTCTTTCAAACTGTGTATAGGTTTCCTATACCTATCTCTAACGGTATTGGAGATATTTATGTCGTTTCGTTTTTTTATCGATTTTTTTTGTAAGATGTATCCACTTGTCTTTATCGAGGTCTTTACTGAATTGGTTTGGATTCTTCTTGATGACGTCTCTTTAAAGACACCTGCACATTTTTCATATTCAGTGAGAAATTATATAAATTGTCTCCAGTCTCTAAATTTCTAAAAAAGTTACGAATATTCAAATTCTTCTGCATTTGAAACATTATCATATATTGCCAATAGTCCAATCAGCATTTCGAGCTATAGTTGTGCTACAGCCTTATTAAATGTAACTGATGATACTACTAGGGTTGTCGACGTCGAGCATACCATAGTGATTGCTCTACTAGACATTAGACTACTAAAAATTACAAATTACTCCTGTCTATACTAATGCAAAAAATTAAAGGATTTCCGATTTTTTTCCGTGATTTTTGACAGACTGTATTTAGGTCAAAAATGGTCGTATCAGGAAATAAATAAAAGCATTTTGAAGCTCTAAAATTCTAGTTTTTAAATCTTTCGATGGAAATTCTGCAATTTTTTTCAGCTAAGCCATTGCTTCGATCAGATAGCTTGTTTGTTCAGCTCCAATTTTCTTTTTTTTTTTAATTTTGATACGACCATTTTTCATCGAAATAAGGGACTTTTAATGGAAAAGGATCCTTTTGTCTTCAATCATCGATATCTCGGCGACAAATGATCGTACAGAGAATTCGAAAACTAGAATAAATTTCTTATAACATGCTGCCGCAACTTTTCCAAAATATTTTTTTTCATCTTTTACACGAATTTTAAAAAGCAGGAAAAAAGGGTATTTTATGGTTTTTTAGAAAATTGACTGCTAAATTAGAAATATTTACGAAATGACTAATGTTAAGCATGACTTTTACAGTTGGATATACCCAGAAGATCCCTGTGAATTTTCATCGCGATCTAGCGAACCGTTTCTTTGTTTCAAACAGCCAAACGACTTCGCTAGATCGAAATGAAACTTCACACCAAACTTTAGGTAGTAGCAAGTTTTGAGTTGCTCGATCCACAGGAATATACGGGTTATAGTTTCAGGCAAGAATTTTTATTGAGAATTGTGTTAATTGGAAAGCAGCAGTATACACATTGTTAAACAGTATAATGATTCAAATATTGATGAAATAGAACTTTTATTGTGTATGCTTTTATAAAATACAAATTTTTACATTGGAAGTTATGTTAAAAAACGGTTATTTGAATGCAAAAAAGCTGTCGTTGTAGAAAAAAATATTGAAACAAAGTTTGCTTACATCTAAATAGGCACATAGCTAAGTTTTGTACTCAAATTTGGCATTAACGAGGTAATCACTTTCTTCTCTTCATCATCTTCTGACCAACTGTTCTCTGCTAATTATTGAATAAAAACGTAACGCTGATACATCCAGAACACATTTGTAAGCTTAGTAAATGGCGTTAATAAATATAATTCCCACTATATTAAATAATTCACGTAGAAATTTATACCAGGAATAAACTTCTATAGGAGGCCAACGCCACCTGTTTCTTCACTCGATCTTTCTTCTTCCTCTTCGGCGATTGGCAAGCTTCTCCATAAGACGCTGGTGCTGCGACAGACCTAGAAGAGCTTTGTTTCGGCTGAGTAACGCGTTCCCTTTCCTCATCTGTTATTTCAGCATCGTCCTCATTCGAATCTATGAAGAGTAGATCTTCAATCTCTTCTATTTTCGCTATCGGGGGAGATTTAATGTCAGACAGTTGAGGAGCTGAAGGCTGTGCGTGTTCTTTCAAAGGGTTCTTTGAAAGAGTCGTCGGCACTGCGAATCCGATCGATCCGCAAGGGATAGAAGATTGGTCTGTAGGCATTGGCATGGGCGTGAATTCTGCGAACCCAACAGTCGAGTGAGGAGCTGGCTTTTCTGGTGGGTATGGGGCAATGTTTCCAAACGCAGGGGAAGAAAATTCGGTAACGTTTGAGGTATCGGTAATGGGATAAGGAGGCTGCATTTTGCTCGGATAAGGAAGACCGTCTCCTTCAAACGAACCAATAGATTGTGAAGGCAAAGAAGGCATAGACATTTTTTGAGGTAATTCTGAGGCATCACTAATTGACTCGTGTAGTAACGGCGTTTTCTCCTCGATTTCCCTTGGATAGGGCAGAGAATTTTCTTCGAATGAAGTACGAATTGAACTTGAAGGCACTTTTATTTTATTATACCATTGAGTACCCTTCTTCGAATATAAAGGACTTACTTGGAATTTTATTTCCGTCCGATAAGGATAAGTTTTCTCATTAGAACGAGACATGTCGACTAACCTGTCATCATTAAATTTTTTTTTAAGGTAAGGAGGATCACCAACTGTTGAAGAAGTTTGACTTTTCTCTGTTGGATAAGGGCAGGTGCTTCCACTGGGGTATGACGAAGATGAGGGCTTATCTTCTTTGGGATAAGGACAGTAACTATCTGGTGGGTAAGGCAGATTTCCTTCCTTTGAAAAGTAGGGAAGGGTTTTTGCATCTGTAATCAGTACTTCTTCAACACTAGATGGAAGGTTATCTTGTTTGGGATAAGGACAGACATCGCTTCGGGGGTAAGGAAGATTTATTTCAATTGCTTCTGGTATTAGTTCCTTTTCGTATGATGAAGATGAGGGCTTATCTTCTATGGGATAAGGACAGTAACTATCTGGTGGGTAAGGCAGATTTCCTTCATTTGAAGAGTAGGGAAGGATTTTTGCATCTGTAATCAGTACTTCTTCAACACTAGACGGAAGGTTATCGTGTTTGGGATAAGGACAGACATAGCTTCGGGGGTAAGGAAGATTTCTATCATTTGCTTCTGGTATTAGTTCCTTTTCGTATGATGAAGATGAGGGCTTATCTTCTTTGGGATAAGGACAGTAACTATCTGGTGGGTAAGGCAGATTTCCTTCTTTTGAAGAGTAGGGAAGGGTTTTTGCATCTGTATTCAGTACTTCTTCAACACTAGATGGAAGGTTATCGTGTTTGGGATAAGGACAGACATCGCTTCGGGGGTAAGGAAGATTTATTTCATTTGCTTCTGGTATTAGTTCCTTTTCGTATGATGAAGATGAGGGCTTATCTTCTTTGGGATAAGGACAGTAACTATCTGGTGGGTAAGGCAGATTTCCTTCTTTTGAAGGGTAGGGAAGGGTTTTTGCATCTGGAATCAGTACTTCTTCAACACTAGATGGAAGGTTATCGTGTTTGGGATAGGGACAGACATCGCTTCGGGGGTAAGGAAGATTTCTTTCATTTGCTTCTGGTATTAGTTCCTTTTCAACGTTAGATGAAAGGTTACCTTCTTTGGGGTAAGGACAGTCACCTCTTAGAGGGTATGGAGGAGATTTCGTTGCCTCGGGCACCGATGTTTTCTCAGCAGTAAATTGCGGGTTATCTTCTTTGGGGTAAGGACAGTAATCGCTTAGGGGGTATGGCAGATTTTTTTCTCTTGGAAGGTGTGGGGAAGATCTCTTTGCTTCAGATGCTAGTATCTGTTCAGCATCGAAGAATTGTTCTGTTGGGTAAGGCGGTACTAGTTTTGGGTGGTTATTAAGCTGTTGGCTTGAGCTTCTGGGGCTGCTATGAACTGGAGGATATAACACTGGCACTCGTGTCGGTAGGTCCGGAAAAATCATTTTTGAAGCATCAGTAGAGGGATTGCTCATGATACCGTAAGGGAGTGGGCAAATTTTCACAGAATCTGAAATGAGAAATATAAAATTTTTGGAAAAAAAATTGTATAATTTCTTCGCCTACCAACTTTACACAAATTTGGTGAGTTTCCCACATTTTCGGGGATAAACAAAACATACAAAAAATTGAAAGGCGACAAAAAGTTTCCAATGCAATTTTGCAGAACCACCTGATAAGCTATTAGTAACTTCGGTATTCCAGAAGAGACATAAAAATTCAACTACCTACCTTGCGTATATTTAGAGACTCCTTCATCTGAATAGTGTCCGATAATTAACTCAACTTTTGTTGTTAATTTAGACTTTGTAGAATCCCCAAATATCGCTGTGACCTAGAAACAGAAGAGCAGATATTGACATAGCGGCATTAAGAGCAAATAAAAATTGCAATTTTGATAACGAAGAGAAAAATAAGCGACCAGGACAATCTCTCTATTTTGGCAACTTAAAATATCAAATTTTAAATACCTGCAAAATTTCTTTCCGCGTCAAAAGAGTACAGTTCTGAAAATTCGGAATTTCGGCGGAGTCTGGTATCTTCAACTGTAACGAATATTTCTTTGTCCTGTAGTGACGGAGCTCAGGGCCTTTAGCTTCCGTCAGCAATTGACACAAAGTCCGAAATCGACGAAGCGGTGGAGATACCTTCGCTATAACTTTCTGAAAAGTATTATTCGTTACTACTACTATAAGCGGTCTCATGGTGGCACAATCAAAAGCTTGTAATTTTCTTAGGAAAAATTTATGTGCCGTACTACTGTGAGTATTGACAGAGAGAGGAAACTGTGTAAAAGGATTGAAGACGCTGAAGATGATAAATTGCATTTTAATCTTTTGCATACAATTAATTTTTACAGGGTGGCCAAATGAAAACGAAACAGAGCCATTTTCAGGAACTGCGTCAAGATTGTAGAAAAACGCTCAGACCCGTCGATTTTAGATTAAAGGGGGACATTCTTTGCTGGTATTTTTGACTCAGACCCAAAATTTTTAAATGGCATTAAGGGTTGAGTAATATTTCTTTTGAAAGCTCTTACGATTCTCTTTACAGCAGACTTTAAATTTTATAATTCCGCCCAATACTTTGAAAAAAAAATTACATTTTAAAATTTAAATTATGTTTAGTTGCTTACTTACTACTTAGTTGATTAAATGTTCAAACTGATGACCGCCCGCTTCCATACAAGAATAAAGATTTTGTTCGAAACGTTCGCGCACATTCCGAAGCATTTCCGGAGTGATTCGACGGCATTCGTCGACGATTCTTTGACGCAAATCTTCCAGCGACGCTGGCTGTGTTTTATAGATTTTACTTTTTAGGTATCCCCACAAAAAGAAATCAAGGGGCGATAAATCCGGTGATCGTGGAGGCCACTCAATGCTGCCTCTTCTCCCAATCCAATTCCGTAGAAAACGTTGGTCCAAATACTGACGGACAATTAACGCATAATGCGGAGGAGCACCGTCCTGTTGAAAAATCAAATGATCTTCATCATACTCTGGAACATTTTCAATAATATCAGTCAAGGCAGGGTCAATAGCGTCTTCCAGTAATTGCAAATACATTTGGCCAGTCAAATTACCAGGTAGAAAAAAAGGACCCACCAGCCGGTCACCGAAAATTCCAGCCCATACATTTAATTTTTCCGGTTGCTGTGTATGCACCTCGTGAAAAACTCTTGGGTTTGAATCGGACCAATAGCGGCAATTGTGACGATTTACCGTCCCGTTCAAGAAAAAACTGCATTCATCAGAAAAACAGATGTTAAAAAGGAACTGTGGATCGTTCCCTGCTCGCTCACTCATTATTTCGCAAAATTGCAAACGGCGGTCATAATCATCCTCATGAAGTTCCTGGACTAAATGTATTTTGTATGGATGGAATTTATTCTTCTTCAAAATGGTTTGTATGCTAGTTCGATTGATCCCAGACACAGATGCCAGCTGCCTCGTACTTAATGTAGGATCAAGATGAACTTGTCCCAAAACTGCAACTTCACTAGCTTCATTAACTATAGGTTTTTCAATTTCTCGTTTTTTATTGGCTACGTTCCCTGTCTCTTGAAATTTTTTTACTAACTCTAGAACATACTTCCTCCTGACATGTCGATCTTGATGTTGTTCATTAAATAGCTGAGCTGTTCTATTCGCACATTTATTGTTCATAAAGTAAAGCGAAATGATATCTACCCTTTCCGCAATGGAATAAACCATAGTGTTTAATTTTCAAAAACACAATTAAATAAACTACCAACCAACGCTTCCAAATAATACTAGAAAATAATTTGGAATCCACTAATTTTACGTTCATTGTGTGTGTATAGCATTCATTTATGTTTTTTACAATTGTTTTTTTTTTACGAAAGTGATAACAAATCGCCAAAAACCAATGTAACGCAAGAAATACTAAATTTATACCATTGGCGTACTTAACTCGAATGACTGACATTTTTACCGTTACTAATTGTTTGTACATAAGTTTCAACTTTAAAATCAAAATTCTTAATAAGTATTGGGCGGAATTATAAAATTTAAAGTCTGTTGTAAAGAGAATTGTAAGAGCTTTCAAAGGAAATATTACTCAACCCCCAATGCCATTTAAATATTTTGGGGTGATGCTTACCCTTGCTTGGGGGTGAAGGTGGCGGAGTAAAAAATACCAGCACAGAATGTCCCCCTTTAATCTAAAATCGACGGGTCTGAGCGTTTTTCTACAATCTTGACGCAGTTCCCGAAAATGGCTCTGTTCCTTTTTCATTTGACCACCCTGTATATTACAGAATACGGTGGTCATATTTGACAGTTCTTGTGAAAGAACAGTCTATTGTGCTCCTATTATGAAAGAAATTACTTTTGAAATTTCGTAACTATTTCAAGTTTGAATAAAAAATGAATTAGCAATCATCTAATAAAAAAATAATAATTAACCTAAACCTAAACCAACTATTACAAATATAAAATTTTATAAGAGGAAAAAGTTTTTTGTAAAACTGTCATTAAAAATGACATTTTAATTCATTTAAAAGTGAACTAAAAACATTTATAATGTTTCGTATCAACAACACTTTTGATACTAGTGTAAAAAATAAAATGCTATGTACTATACAGGGTGCGCCATTTAATACTCCCGCTACCAATATCTCCGATATGAAGTAATTTATTTTAGTCCCAGAAACTGGGGTTGTTAGGTCCTCGAATAGCTTCAAATTGCAGTTAGAATTTTTAGTTCTAATCTTTCTGTATAGATAGCGTAGCGATACTAACAAATTTTTTCCTTCAAAAAATATATGTAGATAAATTTTTTTACCTCGATGGTTTGGCAATTTTGACGCAAAAATGGGATCAGGAATAAAAAATCGAAACTAGCGATGACAGACCTCTTAAAACTAATATTTGGGTCTCAAACTCTCACAATATTTTTTTCGTCATTCTGAATGATATTCTCGATATATACAGGGTGATTCACATCTTATCCAAAAAAATTTGGGAATAGATGCGGCATAAGAAATGGAATCAACATCGTAAAAAAAAATTTTGTAAAATCCTTATAGTTTCCGAGAAAAAAAATATTGAAGTTATAGTACATTCAACCACTACGTAGCTGGACAACTGTAGTCTCTAGCGTCATTCGCCACGTGGCCTCAGCGGCTCCGAATACTGAATTCGGATTTTGCAATCGTCGTTACGATATTTACCTGTTAGCTGTGGTGTTTACAATAGGTTTTTAATAGTTAGTGTCAAAAATGGTTTGCGTGTACTCGGAGTTGATGGACATCGTTTTAATTTATGGTGAAGCATTTGTGTTATGGTGAAACAAGACAACATTTGTGTTAGTTCGTAGAAACTGAGTACAACGGACCCAAATGTGTTTACACATTGGTGGATAAAATTTTGAACAATTGTTGTAACATCGGGTATGTCAAATGATTTTATTATTTAAAAACACAAATTAATTTTATTAATTAATTAATAAAGGCAAAAGCAGTTGAATTTGCCGATATAAAATAGGTGCGATAAAATTCTATTTACATATTTCTTTCCT